GGGGGGGGGGGGGGGGGGGGCGCCGCGCAAAGAAACAATAATAAGCACAAGTATTTTTTTATTATATGGTTAGCATGGAAGAAGTGCCTTGACTTGGCTTTGATTATTTACAAATATAACAAAATGATTTCCATCAGTTCCGGCTCCCTGTCAGCTTCCAGAGATAAGGCCCTAATCGCCAGAGTTGCGGTGGTGCTTCGCGTTGCAGTTGGTTTGGTGGGTGGGTGGGGGGGGGGGGGGGGGAACTCCTTGCCCTGGGCGCCAATATGCCTAGAAACGGCCTCGACTGTGTAAGCGGCTCCTCCCGAGATGCCGAGGACCGATGAGCGATTACGTAATGGGCATAATTTGAAGCGCCCGGAATGTGACCTCAAATTCGCGATGCACTCGAGAAATCATGGCGCAGTTTATAGGTTGGACCATAAATATTTATACCACGGGTGACTTTTTCACATCTGCATGCCCAAGAAAAAGTGAGACTTAGTACTTAATTGTTAGCGTCTCTTTGGTGGCCAATCTTGGGCGTTTCACCAAGACTCCTCCGAGTCACACGGCTTCACGCTCCGCTCAATAACTTATCTTACAGAAATTAACAACAAACACGGACACCCCCGTTACAACTGACTGTAATCCTAAAGATTACTTTATGTGGAGTTCGCTGGAAGTAAGCGTCCAAAAACGGAAAACGGCGATCTGAAAGAATTAAGGCTGGAGCCGAAACACGAACGGAACCACGTCCGATCATTGTGATCGACCGGCAGACTCGAAGATCGCAGGTTGCCGTATAGAAGAACGGGGGACACGTCGAATATGTTTACGAGTAGTTGGCAAATATTTACAATGAGTCATTGTGTCTCGCTAAAATTCAGTAAATTCTATGAGAAATTAGGGAATCAGGAATACAAGGTTTCGATTTGGTGTGAATGTTTCTGGCGCACCCTGTAAATCTGAGGAAGTTCTCCGCTTCCTGATATGGTATGCAAAATGTCCAAAAGTAATGCAAAAATCCATTTGCTCCTCGAAATATCCCTTCGTGAAGCCGTAACTGAATTATTTATTAATGAAGTGAACTCCATGTTCCCCATCTGATCATTGGGATCGGCAAGCTCTGCCATCGCCTTGCTTTTCATCAAGTTTCGATGAGTAGAGCATGGATGGGGTCTTCGTTGTCGTAACTCTTTCCAACGAAGTCCCAGCACTGAGGCGGAGCCCCTCGTGTTAGCGGTATGCATCTTACCTTGCTCGATTTCATCGTGCGAATCGATTGAAGTCTTTCCACTAAATCTCAAGAGCCGTCTTCCACATTTCTTCGCATTCTCGCACGACAAAAGCGTTGCCTCGACAAACTTGTCCCGACCCATTAAGGGAAACCAACACGGAAATGATTCCCCTCGTTTATCTCAATGCCATTGCGGAAGGAAATGCTTCCTTCGAAGGAGGTATAGGTCCATATGCCTAAACCTTATTTAGACGAGAGAAAGGGTCCTCGAATCCTTTTTTCATGCTCAATGGTGTCATTGGGACCACCAATTTTCAAGAATGCGATTATTTGATGACTTGTTTAAAATGTGCCAATCGTTTTCTTCTAAGCTTCTAGAGCAGATCGAAGAGAGGGAATCTTGAGGTTGTTGACCAATTGAAGTCATTCCCATAGAAGCTCATTCCAGCTATTTTTTCCTCTCGGTTTTAGCAAGTTAGATTTTGGAAGATATCATAGAAATGTCGAGAAGCATTCGATGGAAAAGTCATCGCGAAGATGTTCTTTTCAGGAATGCCTTGGAAACGGATATCACGCCGTCAATCACGAGGGGAAGTCACGAAGCAAGAGCAGAGGGTCCAAGATCGCATGGAGAGACCTGACTGTCTTCGCACCGCCACGATCCAAGGGAAGATGCTCGTGGAAGAGACAGGAAGGCAGGCAAATTCTCTTTGGAGGTCAGACCCTGCTTTGCTGTCGGGTGTGCCAGCACCGCAAAACATTCGGTCGAACTGTTCGTTATATACTTTCTAAATTGTTGCTTTTCACTAATTTGAGCAAACTTTCAAAGTCTCACTTTCTTTTATCGGTTGGGGTTCGTCTGGGTACTGCAGTTTATCATGGAGCAAGCATGTAATAGTTCGTGATACTTTGTCTCCTTAGACGATCTCCCTTCTCTCACAGATATTATTTTATTATTTTTTGCCATAGTTCATGATTAATATTTTTCCTTCGGTTTATTTAATCGAAAAAGCGGTGATATCGACTCGTAGTGTCCGGATGCGTGGAAGCGGGGACGTTCCTGGTCATTCTGGGCGGAAGCGGATGCGGGAAGACGACTCTGCTCACCACTCTGGCCTCCAGGGCTCCCAGAGATCTCATCATCCACGGGGAGGTGAACATCAACAGCCACGTCATCCCGGACCTGTTTGATCGGTCCATCGCGAGCGGCTCGGGGTTCCTTCATCAGGACAATCTCTTCTACCCGACCCTCACCGTTCGGGAGCATCTTCGGTTCATGGTCAGACGCGTTGTGGGGCAGGGTCAGTCTAAGCATAGCGATCCGTGCAATATATCGATGCGGTGGAAGGTGATGCCGGAATTATAGCAAGCCTCTGACTAAACCAGAGCTCAACACTGGTTTAGAACGGTAGTACGAATAGTGGAGGGCATGAGGGGGTGGTCCTCTTCTAATGGGCACTTTGAGAATGTGTGTCTTTACCGGTAAATCTAATATAGCGACACCTACGAAAGACATTTGGTGAATAATTGTGCCTTTAATCTTAGATGCCCCATAGCCTGTAGAAGCAGTAGTAGCATATCTGAAGTTCCGACAGTGAGGTCAGATGCCGTCAGTCTTGGATCACGTGACGGTTCAACTGCTTTTGTGGGACGAAATATCTCACGGCGCTGTATCCGATGACTCCTTTGATCCATGCAGTGTCGAAGTGTTGCAGACGTCGCATCTGGAGATGCAGTCACACTATTGACACCCCTTTTCTTTTCAGTTAAAATTGTGATCCCTCTGGTTCCCCTTCTTAAGCGGTTACCCTATTGCCGGTTGCCAAACTAAACGTTAGGGACCTCTTTTGACAATGTTGTGGAATACTCTATAATATGATATCTGCAGAAAATGAACCATAAATGTTGGCGTAGCTATCCGCACAGCCACTCGTGGGCTGTTCCCATTCTACGTCGATTTGGCTCTCTTTCTTTAACTGTTGGTCCATGTTTTGGCAAATTGCCAGAAGTCGAAGAGCAAAATTTATTGAAACTTTCAGTGTCGCGAAGGAAGCGATCTGAGTTGTTTGTCTTAGATGACATTGGGTGAATTGCATAAAACTGACTCTAGCGTAATGAATCTTTAAACTTCCATTACCACTAAAGGAGGTTTAGGTTTAAAGCTTCATTACACTAAAGTCAGTTTTGTGCAATCCACCCTATGTCTTTTATTTTACCTTTTAAATATGATCCCAATCGTTTTCCGAAGAAATTAATGAAGGACATTTTACGACCGCGAATAATGAGCAAAGATTCTGAAAAAAAACAAAGGGCGATATTTTTCTTATACATTTATTTTCATTATTTATTTATTTTGCTCCTAGTTGGCTGAATTCTTTGACTGCTTTTGGAGGTTAGTGTCTTTGTTCGTCGTAGAACAGGTTTCAAAAACTTTCCGAGAAGGATATTATTCGCATGAACCCTATAGCCTCGTTCAGGCACGACCCGGCTTGCCTGGCAAGCCGGGAAATCCCCAGGAATCCCAGGAAAGTCCCAGGAATTAATGGTGCCTGAACGGCACAGCCAGCCCCTGCGACCCGGGGTGCTGGGTAAAAGCCGGTCCAGCAAATTGGTGGGTTTTTCCACGGGAGGCTGGGAAACTGGTTCTACTTGAACATGCATTCCTACATTTCATGCATTCCTGGGTTCTCTCCTAATTTCGACTTTTCGGAGTGAGCAAGTGCATCTCTTATTATCGTGGGCGTATGGAATGTTGACACTCAACACTTGAATTCAATTTGGAAGAGCAAATTCACGACATGTTTAATGGGACAATACGCAACGTTCAAGTGTACCAAATGATATCTGAAAAGGGAGTAAAGATGTCTCCTGCAGCTGTGCAAAACAAAATGAAACTTCTCAGGAAGAGTTACCGTGAAGTTCGTCATAAAATCAAAGAAAGAAGTACTGAGCGAGGAGAGCGTTATGATGCATGGCAATCGGAGCACGAGAAAGCCGAGCAGGACGGGAATGACTGAACAATCCTCATTCCTGGGAATTTGCGCCCTGCGGCTAGGAGCAAGACCTTGGCACCCCCTTGGCATATTTTTCAGGAGTCAGGAGTCAGGAGAGTTAGTGATATCAAGAGGCGATTTCGCCCATTTCGATATCACGTGTCGAGGTCGAGCGTTCCTTAATTTTAGGGTAGGCCTAACCCTCTTAAAGCTATATATTTTTGTATTTTTGTATTTTTTTTTTTTTTTTTTTT